ATGATAATATACATAGAGAACCCCAAAAACTCCACAGAAAAACTAATTCAACTCATCAATCAGTTCAGTAAAGTGGCAGGATACAAAATCAACACACAAAAGTCAGTAGCCTTCCTATACACAAACAATAAATCTGAAGAAGAAGAAATCAAAAAAAACCATCCCTTTTATTATTGAAACAAAAAAAAATCAAATATTTGGGAATAAATCTAACAAAAGAGGTAAAGGACCTATACAAAGAAAACTATAAAACACTGTTAAAAGAAATAGAAGAAGACACAAAGAAATGGAAAGACATCCCCTGCTCATGGATTGGAAGAATAAACATTATTAAAATGGCCATCCTACCAAAAGCAATCTACAGATTCAATGCTATTCCAATCAAAATTTCAATGTCATTCTTCAAAGAAATAGAACAATTATTGATGAAATTCATATGGAATCACAAAAAAACCCGAATTGCCAAAGCTCTCCTGAAAAAGAAAGAAGGGAATGGAGGCATCACACTCCCAGACTTCAAACTATACTACAAAGCCATAATCATCAAAACTGCATGGTATTGGAACAAGAACAGACATACAGACCAATGGAATCGAATAGAAAATCCAGAAATAAACCCACAGATTTATGGTCAACTAATCTTTGACAAAGGAGCAAAGACTATGCATTGGAGCAAAGAAAGTTTGTTCAATAAATGGTGCTGGGAAAACTGGGTCACTACATGCAAAAGAATGAAGCTTGACCACTACCTCACACCATACACAAAAATCAACTCAAAATGGATTAAAGAACTAGACATAAGACCTGAAACCATAAAATATATAGAAGGAAATATAGGCGAAACACTACGTGATTTGCACATCAAAGACATCTTTACAGACACATCACCCAAAGCAGTGATAGTGAAGGCAAAGATAAACAGCTGGGACTACATCAAATTAAAGAGCTTCTGCACAGCAAAAGAGACAATAACAAAAACAAAGAGAAACCCCACTGACTGGGAGAACATTTTTGCACCCAACACTAATGATAAAGGACTGATCACAAAAATCTGCAAAGAGCTGATGAGACTCAACAACAACAAAGAAAATAACCCAGTGAAAAAATGGGCAGAAGAGCTAAAAAGAAACTTCTCTGAAGAGGAAATGCAAATGGCCAACAGGCATATGAAAAAATGTTCAACATCACTTGTCATCAGGGAAATGCAAATCAAAACTACCATGAGATACCATCTTACACCAGTGAGAATGGCACATATTAAAAAAACTAGCAACAACAAATGTTGGCGAGGTTGTGGAGAAAAAGGAACTCTCCTGCACTTTTGGTGGGAGTGCAAACTGGTCCAACCACTATGGAGAGCTGTGTGGAGATTTCTTGACCTACTAAACATAGAGCTTCCATATGATCCAGCAATTCCACTCCTAGGTATTTACCCAAAGGACACAGAAACATCAATTCCAAAGAGCACCTGCACCCCTATGTTTATAGCAGCACTGTTTACAATAGCTAAGCTTTGGAAACAGCCCAAATGCCCAAAAATAGATGACTGGATCAAGAAGATATGGTACATATATACCATGGAATATTACTCAGCATTCAAAAAAGATAAACACATGCAATTTGCAGCAACATGGATGGCACTGGAAGGGATCATGCTCAGTGAAATAAGCCAAAAAGAAAAAGAAAAATACCGGATGGTCTCACTCATAGCAGGAATCTAGAAAACTTAAATAAGGGACCAGGAAAATGAATAACTATAAGAAAGTGAAAATCAAAATCAACAAAAAACTATGAACCAGAGACACTTTTTGGGGGGTGGGGGGTGGGAGGGGAGGGATTGGGGTCAGAATGGGGGGGTTGCAATTGTATGGGGAATATAAAAATAACATTTATTATGAAAAAAAAAAGAATTATAACCTATAAAAGGTTTCCCAAATGTAATTGTTAAAAAAAAAAAAAAAGACAACTCAGAGCAGAACATAGAACTCTCAGTATAGTCTGAACCAGTACAGAGTAATTGGCATGTCCCCATATTTTCTACTCTGTTTTCTGTTAATATAGCCTGGAATCACATTAGCTCTTTGGGTAGTCATGTTATAATTCTTTATTCCTACCAAAAATATTATGTACCAAGAGCTCCAAACCACATAATCTGCTTCATTATTTTTGCCACATAGAATCAAGGAATTTTTCAAGCAATTTGGAAATAGAATTTAATTTGCTTTGAAATAGAATTTAATACTGGTTATTTTAATTACCCTCTCTGTAAGAACGCAACGATAGGAGATACATAGTTCTTCTTCCAGTTATTTAATGTAATACTCTCCTTTAGTGAGTCCTATCTGTGGTGCTAAGGACATTTCTCTTTTTGTGCTTGAATGACCATATTCCTATAGAAGCTTTGGCAATTTTCTGAAGTGAGTTTCTGCCTATATTGAAATAGAGTACCTTTGATTTATATCTTATCCTCTGATGTAATATGTTTTACCCTTTAAAATAGATTTCATTTTTCTAGATCACTTATAAATCTATAAGTATATGGACTTTGCAAAATAAGGTGAAGGTTTAATACTGTTCAACTTGAAGTAACCACTTAAGAATTTGAAAGCAAAATAAAATGTGAACTCTGTCCTAATATTTGATCTGTCTTAACAGTTGCCATATTCAAACCTTTGGTCCTTATCTGTATTTCAGTTTGGTGGTTTTTTTCCCCCAAGTGCAGTAACTTTCTTTGCCTTATAGAAGGTTCAGGTGTGCACCATCGGAAATCAGCACACATATATGCTACTCTTAGTTCACCCCTAGAAGGATAGATTTGGTTTTATTTTGATGTTACGCACATACCTCATGGCTCTTTCTATAAAGAAATCACAATAAAGTTGATGTTTGAGATCCCTTTTCAGGAATTTAGAGCCTTGTATACTTACTTCATACAATGTATGCTCACTTAATTTATGCTTATTTCAAGTTTCTGTCCCAACATTTCAAAGAGTTGCTGTATGGATAGATTGAAAATGGAGATATTTGTGGGTTTGGAGAGCTATGCAGATATACTCTGATGGTTTATAGAATAACAATTACTACATTGTAGTGCTTTAAGACTCTTACAGAGTCTTCCAAGTTACCCCAGATGCAGATGGTGTTATACCTTTGCAGTTAGGTAGTTTCTTTACAAGATACCCATATAAATTTGAATGATTGTCATTTAGTTTGTTTATACTGAATTTGCTTTGCTGTCATTTTTATGCATCTCAATTTAGGGCCAAACCACATGTCCTAGTTTATTTTTTATTACTTTAAATACAAAGCTCTTTTTTTTTTTTTTTAAAGATTTTTATTTATTTATATAAGCACTGGGGTACAGGCCAGAGGTGCGGGAGGGTGAGAGAATTCACCAGAGACAGAGCAGGGAGCAGAACAGGCAGAAGGATCGAAGTACACTGCTGAGGGGAGCAGCAGGTGAGACAGGAGAGGTCTGACACACCATGTGGGTTTCTCTCTGGCCGGCCGGGAATCGAACCCTCACTTCAGAGGCTGCAGACAGCTTCACAGCGCTGAGCCCAACCCTCTGCACCACCAGGGAGGCCCTCTATCTTTTTTTTTAAAAGTTACATTTATTGAGGTAATATTGGATTCATCACAATGTATGTCTTAGGGGTATAGGTTTACACATTTACAAATCTATGTTTTTTCACCACAGCCACTACCAAAGCCTCAATAATCCTCTATTAGACTCCCTTCTCCCTTTTGCTCCCACCCCACCACATCCTCCTTCTGGTAGCCTTAGTCCTAGTCCATTGTGAAAGCTGTGTCTTCTCGATGGGGGTATTAAGCATTTGGTATTCTGTTATTTTAATATAAAGACCGTTTATGATCTTGTTCACTCCTCACCGCCTGTAATTTTATATTACAATAAATTTACCTTTTGAACACTATTAATCAGCAACTTTCAAGAACTTAATATAAAACTCTTAAATTTTTCACTTCCCCTTATTTTCCTAAATACAATGTTCTCTAAATTTTATAATATCTTTTTTCCTCAGGCAATTAAAATACAAATGAAATTAAGTCTACCCAGAAGTTGTCATCAATCATACATTTCAGTAAGATTACTTTATTCTTGAAAACAATCATATTTTGCAAAACTGAGAAAGATGAAGTTTTCTTCTTGATCCTTTCTAAATTGTGATTTATTTGTACATGAAAAAATCTCTTTCTGAGGATAAAAGATATTCTTGAGAATCAAGAAGAAAAATGACTAGAATATAGGTACATTCTAGCCTTTTCTTCATTTGCAGGAGTAGGGAAAGGAAAATAATGAAGAAAACCTTTTCCCTAAAATGTCTCAACATTTTTATAAAGATTCACAGATCTCATGGCCTTGTTGCTCCATTGAATCCTGTTGAAATGGAAAGTCTGATACGAACTCTAGGGCATAACTAACTACATTGCTTTGGAGAAGTGACATCCAAATTAAACATCCATGAAAATGTAAATGAAATTGTGATGAATTTTTGTTCCTTGTGGCTGTTGATTTGACTGTTGATTTGATTGCCCACCCTAAAAGAAAAGGAAATCTTATATATTGCCTAATGCTTGCTTTTTCCCTTTGATCTTCCTGTACATTTATTATAAGTTGAGAGATGAGCTCCAAGTCATTAGAGGAAAATGATTTTTAGGATCTTAATTTTAGGGTGGTAGTTTGTGATAGGTAAATAGGAAACATAGTGGTCTCAACTTCTTGGGATCAGCGAGTCACTTTCTTATATATTTGTCCTTACTTGCATGCTCTGTTCAATCATTCCTTGAAACAAAGCAGCCATTGTTCTATTTGACTAATGTTATGAAGATATTAAGATAATAGTTTCTAAAACCCATTAGTAAATGATGTAGTCCAAGTCTTCAGATATTTATGCCGTATCCAAGAAACTTCATCAACAACTTGCAGGTGGTTTTACTTAAGTTTTAGGAAACTTCTGATCCTACTTTACCTTTTTTAGGTTTCCATTATACCCAAAAGGAGGGGAGAAGTTACAATTTGATTATGGTGTCTATCTTCTGAACAAAAATATAGCGCAGGTAAGTAACTCCTTCCTCTTCACTCCTTTCCTTCACACATATAATCTCCTTCTTTGGATTGCTAACCCTCTTACTTTATAAATAACTACTACAGTTGACTCTTTAGTGAGTTGCAGTGATAATGCAGAGTTCTTTCTTGACCACAGTTTTATTTTGTGCCGTAATAAATATTACAGAGATTCCCTTTACTGAGTTATTCCTTGCTAGTAGACTATATTTGAATATATGGGTTTTATATGTAATAACCTCTGCCTCTGCAGCTTGACTAGTAATAGCTTTCTTCTCACAGCTTTCTTAGATTACTTGTAGGGATTCATTTCACATTGAGGGTTATTTATGGAGTAAAAATTGAATGCCTTCGACAAATCCTCAGTGATCTCAATTAATATCCAGGGCCCAAAAGAGAGACCAAGCACATGGTCTTTCCAGCCCATCTTGGATTTTTGTTGTTGTCTCATCTCACTAGTTAGTATCTCTGTTTCATACTTAAATAATGTATTTCCATGTGCCATAGAAAAACTAATAAATGCTTGGGTTGGCATTTTCCTGAAGGAAACATGCAGTGTTCTTTAGCATACTTGATTCAACTTCAAGAAGTAGACATTCCGTAAATATTCGAGTAAAAGTTTAGCTGAATGCTTTTTTGTTTCTTTTTGAACATCCATCCAAATGGAATATCAAGTGGAGAAATACCCATGGTTTGGCTGCTATTTGGCATTATTAGCTGTATCCTGAAACCTTTTTATAGAAGCAATAAGCTTTGCAATGCATTTGTGTTTATAGATTGTTTCCTTTTATCCATATAAATCTAAAGGCTAACTCGCTTATTTATTCCTAATAGATCTGTAATTATTCCTCCATATGGTATCATCTTTGCCTTTCTTCTTCTCATCCAGCCTCGGTGTATTTTTTTGAAGGTTCTTTTCCTTTTCTGATACTGGATCAAATTTCTAGTTTGCTGTGTTTTTATAGTTATTTGCTTTATAAACCTCACCCTCACTGCCCTTTCACTCATACTGCTTTCGTTGTTATTGACACTCCAGTGCATGCTCTTGACTCCAGGCAAGCAACCTTGCTCAGTCTCCGACCCATGACTCACTTTTCCACATGCCATTTTCCCATAGTTGATGATTTCTGTCCTTCCATTTTTGGTAAAAAAGTATCTCAGATAAAAAAAGAAGACTCTAGAATACTTAGCTTACTACTGATCACAATTGTCATACCATGGGAAAGGTAGTGCTTAATAGAAAGATCTGTTTAAGATTAGTCAGATTAAGAGTGCATGAAGGGAGAAGATATCTCATTAAAGAGTATCCCCAATCATGTCACCAAAGATGGAAAAGAGCTCTTGAATACTGGAATCCAAACTGTGAAGCCACACAGTCACTAGGGTTGTACTCACTTAGTAGAATTAAGTTCTGATCTGAGTTTACAAGTTCCTCTCTCCTTGCCCCATTTTCTAGTTCTTGCTGTAAGCACATAGGCCCTAGGGTCAGAAGTCTGGTGGAAGCTTCCAGGTGATACCTACTTCTGCTTAAGATGGAGCTAAATGCCTGAGTTACCTCATAAAACCTATGTTCACATACGCATGCATATGTGCATTCATACAAATATAAACTTTGTTCTTCCTTCTCAGAGTCTAAACTTTTAGCACTTCCCAAGTAGCCTATGGCTATATTCTCAATTGAACCAATGCCACTGTATGCTGAAGTAGTTTTATTCATATGTTTAAAAATGGATGACTTACAATAATTTTGTATCTTCTGTAATTTTATACTCATTTTGAAAATTGAGAACTTACCTGTGTCTATGCACAATAGGTTAACCACTGTTATCCAGGAACAGGCATCTTGTTCTCTCTCTCTCTCTTTTTTAATCACCATTGTGGCAGTTTTCAAAGGAGGGGCAATTAAGTTCTTTTTTTTTTTTTTTTTAATTATTTATTTATTTATACAAGTCGGAAGTGCGGGAGGGTGAGAGAATTCACCAGAGCCAGAGCGGGGAGCAGAGCAGGCAGAAGGACCAAAGTACACTGCTGAGGGGAGCAATGGGTGGCAGGAGAGGTCTGCGTGCCATGTGGGACCCTCCTCTGGTGGTGGTGGCCGAGGAGCAGCCGAGGATCGAACCGGCGCTGCAGAGGCTGCGGGCAGCTTGGCAACCCAGCACTCAACCGCTGCGCCACCAAAGTGTGAATGTTTTTCTGTAATGCTAGTTCTTTCTTTTGCTAGGAAGAGTAGGTGAAGGGATATACTTTTATTTTAAAAGCACAATTTTTTCCTGCTTTGGATGTTCAGGGAAATTGAATGTTTGAAGTCACATTAATAGTTACAGTCCACCCCCACACCCTTTGCTAGGGTTGCTTTTATGCTGTTGGACTTCTTGGTTACCCTGAGCCCCCTCCCCAAGCAAGGCCTTTGAATGCAAAGAATTTGTAAACCAAATTGCCCCAACCTGAAATGTAAGAACTAAGATCTTCTGTTAAACTTACTTCTTGGTACCAAAGAATGCAAATTTAAGCCAGTTTCCCACTGCGGTTCTGTGGGAAGGCATTTGTCACTTTACAGTGTTTGTGGTAAACTAGGTACAAAACCTATGTTTCTGGGCAATTAAGTTCTTATAAACAGACTCTCTTCAGTTTCAGAGTACATTCAGGAAGCTCCTTCCGATCCCCCTTAGAAAGAAACTTGTGGCAAATTTGTGACCTTTAACATTTCTTCCTCTTCAACTCTGTCCCATCTCCCATCTCTTACAACTATTTTGTGTGAGAAATGTTTCATTTTGTCTTTGGCCTTACTACCATCAATTTTTTACATTTCGCTTTATAACAAATCAAAGTGCCATTAGTTATTATGACTCCTAACTCGTTATTTATATATCAATAAGATATTTGCAACTTTTGAAGGTTTGTTTTTATATATATTTATATTAGTACATGTTGTCAAAGGGGAGTTTGTCTTCTCAGTCAGCCTCATTTATACTCCATCTCTAGAGATGTGAACAAATCATACTATTAAAATGGCCCCACCTCAGTAATTTATAAACCACGTTAGTGGAGGTGGATGAAAGCATTGGCATGTGTTAAAGTACCAGAGAAAAAGGAGTGAAGTCATTTAATACTGCATCCATAACTTGGTTGAGGATTTGAATAGTCAATAGGACCTTTCATCACAACCAGAAGTAGTAGTAAAATCACTTTTTTGTTAGAGGAAATGACAGAATTTAGTAATATTTGTTACTTCAGTTTTTGGGATCAGTCCAACCTAAGTCTTGAAAGTACAAACTTAGAAAGACAGCCCTTCTAGTAGAAACCCTCAAGTGTTGTTTGAAGAGTTGAGAGAATTGGTAAGGCCTGCTTGCCCTCTTCCTGTCACCACTGACTAAAGGTATGTGTGTGCTGGATTGGGTATTGAAAATGAATACAGCAAAATGTCTTGCTTAGAGCACTGTTTACTAATATTTTTCAAGTGCCTGTCTCTCTGAGTGGAAATCGGCTTCTTTGTTGTCGGCATGTAGCATTATAAGCACAGACATGGCAAATTTCAGGTATAGTTTAATTAGCATTGATTTAAAAAACCAGGTCATGCCATTATTTTTAGTCAGTTTATATTATATTCATATTTGTGTGTAGCACAGTAGTTTGTTTTTAATTCTCAAAGCGTAAAAAGTAGGAAGTCAAAATTTATTAATGCTTTCACCTAACACTCATAGAGAACTTTATAGTTTTGTAACATACATACATTTTATATCCATGTGCCCCTCATCATGACTCTGTAAAGTGAAAAGGGCAGGAAATATTAAATGAATTTATAGACAGTGTGATCTTCCATCCGTACTGTGATCTTAACATCTATCACAGTGGTATGATATCACATAATCTGACAGGCTTGATGGAGATTTCCCTAATTCCATATATGTCTTTGCCATTCATGTTTCTATGCTAAAAAGTCACAGAATCAAAGAAGATGACATTCTCAGAGCGAGGGAACTGTAAGGAAACAGACAATATCTGTTTTTGCATATTATAGTATTTCAATTAGTAAGCATAATGCCTGAAACACTGTAAATTCTCCAAAGGTGTTTCATAAATGATTGTGATATAACACTATCACATAGCTAAGAAACTGATCCAGAAAAGGCAAATAACTTACTTGAAAATGATGAATTAATTGATTCAACAGGTATTTGTTGAACACTTACTCTGTTTTTTCTACTGAGTTAGATTTCAGCAGATTAGGCCATAAGATCCCTTCCTCATACATAATCTAGCCATTAAAAGGGCAAATATTGTATAATTTCATTTATATGAATTGTCTAGAATGGGCAGATTCGTAGGTACAGAAAGTAGATTAAAGGTTACAAGGCAGGGGTTGGGGTGGGGGGAATCCTATATACTTCCAAAATACCAATAATAATGTAAGCCAGTGTTACCTCAATTAAAAAAAATAGTAGTTTTGGGGTACTTGGAAGACTGCACAGGAAGAAATCACCCTTGTATATATCAGTAATGTCTCCATAATAGAAATGAAATCCTTTGGGATGGCCAGATACCAAACTATATGAAGCACAGCTATTATCTGAATCCTGTCCATTGAAATACTTGGAATTTGAAGAACAGGATATGTAGTTTATATTGTAACTAATTTTGGAGCAATATGTGGCAAGGTAGTTATTTTTTAATTTACTTTGTAAGCTCTGAGTACATTGAAAGCTGAAAGCAGAAGACAAAAGCTTCTTTTGTTCATAAAACATATTTCAACATATTTTTCTGAAATTGCCAATATCTTCTGACCAGTACTTTCATTTCCTTATTGGTCGTCAATGTATGGGCATTATTTCTGTATAAAAGGTTTTAAAAAGCAGAGAGAGAAAAAAAGCATTGTCTTCTACTACCTTTAATCCACATTCCCAGCTGCACCTGTCAACTTGAACATTTGTGCAGTAGCAAGCATATTGGATTAAGTAATTTTTAAGATACAAAATTTAAAAATATAAAAAAGACA